GAGGAGCATAAAAACGCCACGTACAAAATGTTGTGTCACGATAGTTTACGAGGTTTTAAATTAAAACAAAATTATATCATCAATCTCATCAATGAAAGGTTATTTGAAGAGGTAATGTCCTCATCAGAATTTTGCAATATTTAACAAACTTATGGTTAGTACTTAACTACCATTTGTTTTCTTTTTTGAGAATGATCTACCGTCAACATTTCCCATACTAAAATGATGTTTGATTGAATTGCATTGTTTGCATAGGCATAACATGGGAAATGTATGTCCTCTGAGGACAGCATAATTCCCCATTAGCGAAAACCGCTTCTTTGGGCGATAGTGGAAAATCACCATTGGTTCTGATCGTCCTTGAACTTACGGTTATAAATAGATATTCTTCCTAGGCCTCCACACATAGTAGTGTAATCCCCCGCACATGGAAAATTACAGTCACTGTCTTCTGCCACTCCATATCGACTGTAGTTTGTACCCGCATCCCCACAGTAGCATTCATTCGCATGCTCTACTCCAGCGTAAGTAAGATCAGTGTCATTCAATCCTGTGCAGTAGTCAATGCACAGCTGGATTGTCATGTCAATTGAAGTACGTGAGCCATCTGTTAGGACCCAAAAATTACCGACATCAATGTAGCATCCGACATAGAGGTCATCTAAACGATTATCAAATAAGAGAATAAAATCACTTTCTTGTTATAGTCATTATACGTATATGGTCTATCATTAATACTGTGTGTTTCTGATATCCATTCTTTGTGGGATTATTAATTTGTTTCGTATTTCTCATTGTTTTAGTTTGTTTTAAAAGGTAAAAAGGAGCATCCTTATCAGTATCAGTGCAAAAAAAAGTAAAGAATGCGTGACAATGATAAGAATCCTATATCGCCAATAATATTGCCCATTTTCTATAGTAACGAATCAAACCAACGGACTATCTAAACAAAAAGTTAGCATAATGTTGGATAGTTTTGATGAGGGAAACATTTCAAAATAAAATGTGGAATATTCGTAAAACATATAAAAATATGGAAAAGCAACTACTAAACATTGAAAAGCTATAGCAATACACAGTAATTAGAGAAATGATGCAAAGCCTTAAAAGTGTAATGAAACCTAAGAATAGTGGTGTATACAAAAATCAATCACCATATGTTTCCACTGCCGATGATGATGGAGCCAAAATGAAGATGACTAGGAGCATGTAGTTACAAGTCAGATCCATTAAAACAAATTTCTATGAAATAATTCATAGAGGCAAATGAGAGCTTTCGACTTTCCCTGTCCTTCAAGGTATCACTGCTTGTGTTGTGTTGGCACAAGTTTCCAATTTGCCCGCAGGTGAAGAGCAATAATTATTGTCACAATTATCTGCATGAATATGTTTGTTCTCTTAGAATGTTAGATATTTCCTTTCCCCGAAGAAGAACAGACATAAACTGTTGAACTCAAACTTATATCAGATAACGAAGTATTTGACAGCTGCCCTGTGAGATACAGTACTTGTTCATTAAGTGTATTAAAAAAAAGAAACACTGTCTACCATGATAGATCTCTTCGCACAGCAATCGAATGAGTTTATGTCCACTGTATGCATTTACTTGTAATTATACAATTGAACTTCCTCAAAGCACGCTTTCCTTTCACAAGCAGAACGAACGTGAATGACTAAACGAGTGTGTTTACTCTGTCTGCTTCTTTTGTGCCCGCGAAGAGTCCAATTCATAATGAATAGAATAATCATATGAAAAGAAACTTTGTATACCATCCGATGTTATTATAGGCTAGCGTATCACACTTTTTCGGGCATGTTGGGTTTATAAAAGGTATTGTGTCCCACCAGGGCATGTTTCTCCCCCGATCATACATATTAGTCGTGGTGTTTAGGAAATTGAGTCAACAAAGTAATATATGTTTGTCAAATCGATTCTGATATCTTCCCCGGACTGAACTGGCAAAGATGCACTTAGAATGGGTAATACAAAGTTTTGGTATGGGGTCATGAATTTGGTTCAAATGAACATATAGGAAGCATACAAGGATCTACAATATTCAGTGATCGTTCTCGCGGCTGAAATCGAGTTTAAAGTTATGAAATTGTAAATAATAAACTCTTTATGTTGTATAGCTTCCTCTCAAGGTCAAGATATTAATTAAGCTATGAAACAATGTTTAATGACTAAAATCGACCGATTAGCTATTCCCGTTCGGAAATTATATATCAAAACTTAATATTCTGAGATTCCCATGGTCGCAGCTACGGGCGTAGGCGCTATTTGAAATTTATCAAAATTTACCGGGAGCACCAGTAAATTTGTTATATTTAATTTTCCTCGAAAGCAGAACTATTTTAATGGCTAAATTTTCTAGTGCTTATAATTAATCCACAGGGGCATCCAAATACATGTATATCAAAATTGTAAAGAATCACTATCCACCCAATTTTCAAAATTTCACAAAACTTCGTATTACCTTTAAGGTGTAAAAAAAATGCCTCGCATTATTCAAAAATATCCTTTATACATGTGACATTATCCAAAGTATTAAGGGAGCTGGTATATTGAAACATGAGAAAACAAGGCGGTGCCAATTTAAAAAAAAAGGGAAATCACATTTCACGTATTGGTTTAAAAGTAGGAAATCGGCTGTGTGGATAAATCTCGGTACTAAGATCGTCAATTAGGTTGTGCCAGTTTTTAATTTATTTGCCATTTGTTCCATTTATTTGGCATGATGGACTTATTTTCATCATGAAACCGACCAACAATAATCTATGTCACACCACACACTTTCCCCTCTTCTGACCATGTGAAATCTAAAGAATAAAACTATATACATCCATCATGAATGCACAGCTAATTCAACATTATACAGTATCATAATGACGAATAGGAATTCCCATATTATACCCGATCTTTCTGGCACTATTTACTCAGTGTGGATCTTTGATTCTTGCTTTTGAACGTCAGCCTCTATAATGTATTGTTGTAGTACAGGCATTGCTGTAGTACAATCAGATGATGTGTTTGGCCTTTGTTGTGTTTAACCCGACCGCAGAACAGCGTTATAATAATGTTAGGCCTGTATCCAATGTGCATCATAGAAATCACAAATGAGTCCATATGTAGATAGATAATACTGTAAATAAACGCAGGAAAAAATCCTAGCATCAATTTATTAAATGTTTAATGTGTGCATCATAAACATGAAATTATGTACAAATGTTACCATTCTCCTTGTATACCAGTGTATGATTTAAGCATTTTAAAGAAGATGTATTTACCATATATTATAAGATGCAGCATACATTTGGTTTGTAAATATAACGCACTATTTCCGTTAACGTATACACTTCAATTTGTTTCTACTTGTATAGGAATCCAGTTGATACCCTGCTCACATTGAATAAAGGAAATATGATGCTGTTGAAAAAAATAGTATCATAATTTTATTATATAAATGTTGTGAAAAATGTGATAGTTGATGTGATAGATAGGAACCAGTATAAGGTCTTCCTTCATGCTGTAGGATGAAATATACATGTATAGCACTGTACCTTAATATGTTAAAAAGTTACATAGGTGTGAGAATCATTTGGTACATACACGCCAAAATAAAAGATAGTGTCAGTACAAGCTAATCATTTTTAAAGCTTTGCATTGTAAATTGGAGCCATATATCTGTATTGAATATAGTGTGTCAACGTATGTTCTTATTAAATTAAAGTAAAAGAAAATCGATATCATCTATGTATGGCAGCATGAATACATTTACTCATGTGAAAACGTCTCTATTTCAGTAAAACTTATATACATACCATTTTTTTATACATGTTTACTCATCCCAATTGCCCAGGCACAGATTCTAGAGAACGGTTTGTTCATCATATTCTATTTTTGCTAACAAACCTACGAAATATTTCAATTCATTTTCGCCGTTAGACAGGATGCGGTGTAGGATTTGTTACAACATGCTATCATCCCTACAATGATAGAATATCATTCTACCTTACTGTGCAATACGAGACTTTTTTATGGTACGTACATCATAGACGTTTCATACATACATTTTCATTCATTTGTTGTTTATAATGTATGTATTTTGGACTTTTTTAGATATATATTTTTACTAAAAGGTTGTGCTTTAAAAATATAAAATCTTACAGTAATACTTATATCATTAATATATCTATCATCCGCGAAGGGTGCAACATTTTATCACGCGTGTTGTGTATAATGTAAATGTTTTACCTTCTCAGTTTCTAAATATACTTTTTTTCTTCTTCGAAAGGGCTGTCCTTTAAAAAACATGATTCAACTTGTAATTACATCTCACATTAACAACTGTATCCTTATAATTGGACAGTATTCTATCATGTGTAAAATCTTAATTTCAGTAATGTATATATGTTTCATTTTGTATACGTATTTACACATCCGTATTGCCCTTGCACATATTATAAGCAAACACTATGTATTTAGTTTGTGTTCGTTAATATATTTTCGAAACCAATGCAACTTTTCGACCTTACACAGGATGTAGTGTAATTTTTGTTATAACATGCAACATTCTAACAATGATAACATATAATGCAACCTTACTGTACAATACAATACATTATCATGGTACATACGCACATATTCTTTTTAGTTGAAGTCTATAATGTGAGTATTTTTATTGTTTTTTAGATATATCTTGTACAAAAGAGATGTCTTTTTAAAAATAGGAAAGGGTTGTCAACATATATCCTTTTTAATAAAGGGCATGCTTATTCATTTCACATTTCCATCGCCAAAAATATAATTGCTAAATATTTCAACCTAGCTGGTTTCCTATCAAAGACATTTGTAAAAAAAAAGAAAAGAAGAAGATAATATGTTATCATGTATTTTAACGGGCGGATATGCATTTGAAGGGGCAAACATGTTTTATTTCAACAAAATAATGTACAAACAAAAGGAAAACCATTAAACCTCTCTTTTTCCCTATGACATTCTATGTAGAACTGTAAATATCATTTGCTATCATTACAGTGTTATCAACATCAATGGTCTGTCGTGATTTATCTGGCATGGCGTGCATGGCTTCTACATCATCACGCTTTCCGGCGCCATTTTGGGTCACGTGGTCACGGGGGGTTTTGTCTGGTAGCGCGTACACGCCCTCCCCATTTGTCGATGCCTCCATACCGATCGGCTCCAAGCGGTTTTTCGTGGAAGTGGCGTACAGCGCGTGGAGGCTTTCCTCTCCCAGCGCTGGTTTCCCGTTGCTCAAATTCACCGGCTTAGCTCTTCTGTCTGGCATAGCGTACAGCAATGACGGGTCATCTGTGTCATTTGGTGGCGAGGTGTACGTCTTAGGTCGAGATGAGTTTTTAGCTGACATGTCAGGCATGGCATAGAGAGATGCAGGGTCGGGTGTTGCTTCTTTCATGGTAGATCTCTTCTCCGAGTTCATATTTGTTAGTTCGTTATTGTCCACTGTCATGTTCTCATAGTCGCGTTCCGTCTCTGCACTCTTATTCTCATAGCAAGGATTCTCTTCCTCGTCGGCAGGTCTATTACGTTCCTGATTGTCGTTCTTAGTAGGAATCATCGTTGTTAATGGATGGTCAGTAGCAGGTGATCGCTTCTCTGTATTTCTATTTGCATAGGGTCGAAAATGGGAAAAAAATATATGTCTCAAATACACAAAGGCGAAAATAGTGTCGCGTTGGGTAGGTACCCCCTCCTCAGAAAATAATGGTCTTCTATTTTCTTTTATAAGTTCGCTTCCCTTTAAAACAAAAATCGGACATCATTAACGCGAAAACACGTATTCCGATAATTTGTACATGTAAGAACTATTTATTCAGTTGACTCTGTCAATACTAAGCCCCATCTCTATACAAGGAAGCATTTTGTGTTCCGGTAGTCGTGTAACCATGTAACGTCTTAAGCAGAACGATCACTATTAAGCAATTTGCCACATGCACTTTGCATTATTTTGTGTTTATATGAATAATCGACACCAAAATCCAGACAGCAGATAACATTTTTTTCTTCTATAAGTAGGGCTATGAGCTCGATTGCTAATACATAAGCCATCATAGTGTATTGTGGTAGGGAGTATTATAAACACCGGAAAAGGCGGATTTAGCCTACATTCTTTCCCCTAAGATGAAAACCTGTGTAATTTGTGGACAGCGAAGCCAAAACCTACAAGGGGAAATTCACATAAAGTATAACAATATAATATGCCCTGGCAGAACAATTTGACCCCACAGAACTATTTTTGTGCCAACTTTTTTTCCCTGTGCTTTATTTTTTGTTTTGTTTGTTGTTGTTTTTAACTCGTTCATTAATACCAAGCATCTATGGGTGTAAGAGGTGCATCGACACCTCTTTGTAAGAAAATAAACAATGAAAGATGAAACTAATCTCAATAGGCTTAATGTAAGCAGCGCGAGAGAAAATCAAAATATAACAGCCTCAGAGTAGTTTATTGAGAGTCAGGGTAATATACCACAACAATTATGTTCATACATTTTTTTAAAATATACTGTGTCACTTTTTTTTGTAGATAAACGTTTAGCGACATTTTTTTATTTTGAGATTGCATTCATTCCCACTATAGCTTACCTGCGTCTACATGTGACGAAAACAATTATTATGATGATAAGTATCAGAAGAAATGCGCATCCTCCACCAGCACCTGCATATAATCCTAGAAAATAGAATATAGATATAATATATAAATGGAAAAATATATATAAATGCGGCACTTCGTTAAACCAATAGCTGACGACAGGAGAACAAAATATTAGATAGAATAAAAGTCAGGTGCTCATTTTCTTTTTTGTTAAGTCAGTATTAATAAACTTTTATAACAGAGCCAACAAATCGATTTTCGAATTGCTATTCTAAAAGCCTTTGTCGCCTGATACTGGCTGCAGACTCGACATCAAGTTCAACTGTACACTAGTAAATGGTGCATACAAATTACAAATTATATGTTCATGATAGCCGATCAAACAATACGAATTTCATGAAAAATTTATTATTAAAAATGATGATTTGACTTTTCATTTGTAGATACCCTGTGGGGACGAGACCCAAACTTGATACCTCTTTATACAATGTGGTGTGGTTTATGTGTGTATAGGTAAAGAGAGGGGAGAGAGAGAAAGAGAGAGAGAGTAAGCGATAGCGGAGAGAGATAGAGAGACAGAGATGGGGAGACATAGGGAGAGAGGGAGAGAGAGAAGGAGGCGGGGGAGATAGGTCAGATGGAAAAAGACCAAGTCGACGAATTATATCCTGTCTTTGTTGAATAAACCAAATTCTTACTTATACTAGCTTACACTTATCTTTCTACTATCTGTTATTTTACATATTTCGGAACCCCGTTGCACTAGTATAGCTACTTGCGCCCTCTTTAAAGCAAACAATGCGTAATCGGTAACCGTTGGTCCCCCATGGTCCCCCTTTTTATGTTAATGGAGAGCTGATTTGATGAGATAACCACCTGTCAGTGACCATGCAGGGAGGTCTAATCCTTCCTGGCAAAACTAGTGCAGATATGCTTTGAGTGTATTTCAGCAAGTCAAGAAAATGCCTTTCCCAGGCAGTAATTAACAAACGCAATACTGGAATAGGGACTTTTCGTTGTAAATCTTTCACTAATTTTGGTATAAGTATTATCGCGTCTATATCTAGCGAAAATCTATCTATACCACTTAGCATCAACTTACTTGATTTTGTAGAACGTGTTGATATTGGAATTGTGCTTTTATTGATTTCTTCTGTTGTTTTGTCAAATGCTGTCGATGCATCGTGTGAAGTTGGTATCACTGAACTTGATGATGTTTCAGTAGTTGTTGGAGGTCTAATCGGTGAAACTGCAAATAGTTAGACATGTTAGATGTGGTGGGAAAATAAATGTCTATAAGTTCTTGGTTATGATATAGATAAAAACAAATATGAGACTAGATATAAAAGAAAGCAGGACCAAGGATCTTTACAAAGCAATATGTTTCCTATATATCTCATCGAAAACCAGCATGTACAAAAATAAAGTTTTCTGCGTCTACAAAATAACAAAAACAGTAATTAAACAGATTCAATAATAATTGTGCACTATAGACAAAAGGGATTGTTTTCTTTTGCATTGTACCCTTGCCCCTGCCACCCCATTCTGCTCAGCCCGTGTAACACCCTAGCGACCTCAATGGTTGGCACAGCCCTACCACGGTTAAGAGGAGCATAAACACGCTACGTACAAAATGTTGTGTCACGATAGTTTACAAGATTTTAAATTAAAACAAAAATTATATCATCAATTTAATCAATGAAAGGTAATTTGAAGAGGTAATGTCCACATAAGAATTATGCAATATATTTAAAAAACTTATGGCAAGTACTTAAATAGCTTTTGTTTTCTTTTTTGAGAATGATCCATAGTCAACATTTCCCATACTAAAATGAAATTTGATCGAATGTCATTGTTTGCATAGGCATAACATGGGAAATGTATGTCCTTTGAGGACAGCATAATTCCCCATCAGCGAAAAACCACTTCTTTGGGCGACAGTGGAAAATCACTATTGGTGCTGACCGTTCTTGAACTTACGGTTATAAATATAAATTGTGGCTAGGCCTCCACACAAAGTAGTGTTATCCCCCGCACACCAATAATTACATTCACCGTCTTCTGCCACTCCAAGTCGACTGTAGTTTGTACCAGCAACCCCACAGTGGCATTCTGTCGCAAACTCTAGCCCAGCGTAAGCAGAGTCAGTGTCACTCAATCCTTTGCAGTAATCAATGCACAGCTTGATTGTCATGTTATTAGATATTAATCGGCCATCTGGTAGCACCCGATCATTAGGGTCATCTTCGAAGCATCCGACATAGAGTTCATCTAAACGATTATCAAATAAGAGAATAAAACTTAGTTAGTCATTTTAAAGGGCCGATGATTAATTCTCTATGTTCCTCTTCTTTCTTTTTTTTAGTTGTCTAGTTTATGTTTGTTAAAAAAAGAAATCAGATCGTCTTTGAGCAGTATTGATGAGAAAATGTAAAAAATGCGTGGTCAATTATAGTCATTTAATGACAAGAATCCTATTTTCCTCAATCGCTCATTTCCTACAGAATAAAATCAAACCAACGGACTGTCTAAATAGGGGTTAGCATAATGGTGGATACTTTGGCTGAGGTAAACTTTTGTTAATAAAAATTTGAATTGTGCGTAAAACATGCACATATCCAAATTATAAACATGGAAAAGCAGTGATAAGCCAAAACAATAAACAGTAATAAGAGAAATGATGCAAAACCTTAAAGTCGAAAAGTGTTATGAAACATTAAATAAATGATGTATGCGAAGTTCACTTACTATGTGTTTCCACTGCCAATGATGCTTGCGCCAAAATGAAGATGACTGGGAGCGTGTAATAACAAACCAGTTTTAGATCCATTCTTTCAATTTTTCTATTAAAAATAATAATTCATAGAGGCAAATGAAAGCTTTAGACTGTCCCCTCCTTCAAGGTTTCACTGCTTCAGATATGGATGTGTTGGAAGAAGTTTCCAATTTGTCCGCAATTAAATGACAATATGTATAATCGCAGATATCATACATCATGTTTGAACTCTGAAAATGTGATATACTTCATTTCCCCGAAGATAAACAAGCCTTAAACTGTTGAACTCAAACTTATATCAGATAACGAAGTATTTGCCCTGCTGCCCTGGAAATGCAATTCATCTTTATCAAGTTTAATTTTGTTTGTAATTGAAACACTGTGTACCGTGAAAGAACTGTTCGCACATTAATCGAATGCGTTTATGTTAACTGCATGCATTTGCTTGTAATTATACAATTGAACTTCCTCAAAGCACGCTTTCCTTTCTCAAGCATAACGTGAATGACTTTACCCCCTTCACATACACGGATTTGTCTTACGAGTCCTTACGGATCGCACAAATTCACGGATCTTTCACGGATCTTTACGATTTGGCCACTTTTACGACCGGTTTAAGAGTTATAACGAGCTGTTTGCGGTTTATTACGGATCATTACGAGTTATTACGATGTATTTACGGCAACAGTCCACGATTCGGTTACGAGTTGTCACGGATAACTACGAACAACTAATGTGTTAGTTACGACCTGTTCACGTGTTGTTACGAATAGTTAAGAGTAAGCTACAAGTTATTACGAGTCCTTACGATTTTTAGCCAAAAAATAATAACTGAAAATGAAGTGTTCGAATTTGCAGCTTTTATACCTTTCCCAAAATCGTAAACAGTTCGTAAGCATACGTAAAGTATACGTATCTATTCGTAAAGTATTCGTAACTACACTTAAAATGCTCGTAATAACCCGTATCAATACGTAAAGCCATCGTAAAATGACCCGAATAAAATCGTAAACAACACGTAAGCACACGTAAACCATCCTTAAACTGTTCGCAATAATCCGTAAATAATTCATAAACAAATCGTAAACTAACCATAACGAATCGAGTTGTGACGAGTTATTTACGGATACCAACGATTTATTTACGGATGCTTGCGATTGACTACGAGTTGGCGATCCGTAAGGACTCGTAAGGAAAATCCGTGTATGTGAAGGGGGTATTAACGAGTGTATTTACTCTGTCTGCTTCTTCTGTGCGTGCGAAGAGCCAATTTCATAATGAATAGAATAATCATATGAAAAGAAACTTTGTATACAATCCGACTGTTATAATAGCCTAGATTATCACACTCTTTTGATCAGGCATGTTGGGTTTATAAAAGGTATTGTGTCCCACCAGGGCATGTTTCTGGTCCCATCTCCCCAAGCATACATATTAGTCATGGTGTTTAGGAAATTGAGTCAACAAAGAAATGTATGTATGTCAAATCGATTCTGATATCTTCCTGGACTGCGCTGACAAAGACGCACTTAGAATCAAAGTTGTGTTAAGGAATAAAAGAATGCCTCGCATTATTTCAAAATATCCTTTAAAGCAGGGCTCCCACTTAGCCGAGTTGGAGCCTCGAGTTGTGGCGAGCTGGCACGATCTTATGGCAAGCCGTTTTATCATTAAAACATATTTCTTGATATCAAGAAATAATTTTACGTTGTAAAGCTATGGTAATTCCTGATATCAAGAATTAAATTCATGATATCAAGAATTCGATTTCGTGATATCAAGAATTCGATTATTTGATATCAAGAATTTAATTATTGATATCAAGCAATATGTTTTAATGATAAAACTGCTTGCCATAAGATCGCGCCAGCTCACCACAACTCGAGGCTCCAACTCGGCTAAGTGGGAGCCCTGCTTAAGACGATATCGTATATGTGATATTATCCAGAGGATTAAGGGAGATGGTATCTTGAAACATGAGTAAAGAAGGAGGTGTCAAATTGAAAATACAGGGAAATCACATTTCACATATTGGTTTAAAAGTAGGCCATCGGCTGTGTGGATAAACCTCGGTACCAAGATCGTCACTTTGGTTGTGCCATGCAATTTTTAATTTATTTGCCATTTGTTCCATTTATTTACCATGATGGACTTATTTTTACTATGACACCGATCAAAAATAATCTATGTCACATCACACACCTTCCCCTCTTCTAACCATCCGAAATCTAAAGAATAAAATAAATGTCTATAAGTTCTTGGTTATGATATAGATAAAAACAAATATGAGACTA